ATGCCCACATGTAACCAAGGTTGAGCAATACAGAGTCTAATGTTCTGGCCCCACCACTGAACCTACTTAACCCTACAGAGCAGCCAGGCCCCATCCGTCTTGGATCAGAGGTCAAGCCCAATTAAGGTCAGCAGACAGAGCTCTAGCCAGCTCCTCTCCTGCAAGTTGGCTAGTTATGTTGGGATTCTGTCCTGTCCCTAGATCTGCTCACTGGATCCTTTTCCTGTCTATTTAAGGGAAAAGTAAGGACATAGCAGAAGATCTGGGTTCAAGTCCTGACTCTGTCACTTCATGGCCATGTGCATCAATTCTCAATGATGGGTAAGAAGCTGTTGTTTATGGGATGAATTGTATTCCTCTTGCCTTCTACATGTGGTCAGGCAGGAGGTGGATACCCATGGCTACCATAAGGCCAGTCAGACTCACCCTATCCCAGGATGTCCTCAACAATGAGACACAATAACCTCAGCCAAACTATTCTGTCCATTCTCCCTTAGAGACAGCCTAAAGTCCCCTGGCCAAGCCCCCCAGGTGTTATTACCTCTATCTATTTAGAGAGGTTTCTTCAACTTTTCCTTTGTTTTATGAGTTCTTCTCTTTCCAACAAATTCTTCAGAAGTGTAAATTAGGTGAGGTCAAAGTCTATTGCTTATAGCCTGTATCAAACCAAACAACTTAAAAAGAGGGAGGATTTATCTTAGCTTACAGGTTCAGAGGGTTTAATCCATGGTTGCTTGGCTCTGTGAAATCAAGCTAAGCACCATAGCAGTGGGATCATGTGGTAGAGGGTAATTATTCACTTGTGGTAAGCCAGGAAGCAGAGAGAAGGATGCCAACACTTGGCTGGCACTCTCCTTCCTCACACTTATTCTATCCATCACTACCAGTCCATAGGATAGCACCACCCACACTCAGGAGTCTTCAAACCTTTGTTAATCCTCTCTCTAATACTTAGACAGACAGACATCTGGAGGTGTGCCTCACAAGTCTCCTATGTCACTCCAAATCTGGCCAAGCTGACAAAGAAGATGAACTGCCATATAACCCAAGAGTTTTTTACCTAATGTATCACAATTTGGGGTGCCCACTTCACAGAGAACCAAGGCCCATGCAAGATGGGGTTACATATCCTCTTAGTAATAGAATCTGAACTGCACTGAGCTGTCAGCCCCATATCTGCACCTCATGAAAGTCTCAACCACAGACACTTGGGAAGCAAGTGTTGGAGAAATCACTGCTCTGTGGGAAAAATAGTGCAGAAGAGACCCAAAGCGCTAATCCTGTTTGTATGGGTCCAGTGCAGAGCTCTAAGCAGTCAGGGACAAAATCACCAACAGTGGTTAAAACTTGAAAGCTCTGTCCTCAAACTGAACCCTCAGACAACATGGCCTGTGACCCATAAAGAAGAAATCACAAAACTAGAGGAAATGGTCCCTCTTATATTTTAAGGAATATTTGTGGCAATTGTATATAATTTTCAAGGTTAACGGCATCTTAATGAAAGTCTCGTTTATCTACATATTAGTGTCCTGAAGCTAGCTTCATTTACATAATCATAAATTGCATTTCAACTGTCCTCGGCAGCCTGCTCCCCGCTTGATGAAAACATAAACGGTAATTTTATTTGGGCTCAATTGCATACATACTGCATTTATGCAGCATCAGAAAATAACATTTTAATCTAGCCAGCAAGTTGGGAACTCATTACTACAAAATAAGAATGTTGGTGAAGGCCCTGTACCTCGCCTGGGCAACATAGTAGAGCTGAGCCTGTTGGCGGAGGTGTGGGTGAGCCAAGCCCGACATTGTAAGCATGGGAGAGCTGTCCCCACTACTCATCTGTCTTGTGGCAGCATGGGCAGAGGAGAGAATCCCCCCCCATATACACCTGAGGCAGGTGGGAGAGCTGGTCCTGAGATCATAAGAGCAGGAGAGCTGACCCTGCCCCTCATCAGCTCATGGATGCAGGGGGTGAACTAGCCAGAACAATGCTAGAGAGCCCACCCTGGTGGTGAAGACAGGGGAGAACTGGAGGACTGATCAATCTTGCAGCAATCCAGGCTCAGAACCAGAATTGTGTGTTGGCTCACGCCAAAATTCACCCCATCTGATCTGCTGGAGGATGGGGGCGGGGGGAGTATCAGCCCTGTGGACCCAGGGCTGCAGGATCTCCACAACAACAGGATGCCCAGGAAGAGTCCCAGTGAGGGTCCAGCATCAATGATGTTGCAGAGACCAGGGCTTCAAACCAGACCTATAATTCTATTTCATAAATGCCTGCATTTAAAAATATATGGATAAATAAATATACGAATAAACTGTGTGACTCACTGTGACACACTGCAGCTTCAATGACAACATTCTCCCCTTCTTCCTTCCCCCCACCTCTTTTCTCTTAAATTTTATTTTAGTTTTTTTTTTCACATCAGGAGGCATGATGTGAAAGACACAAATAATAAAATAAAATTTATAAAAAAGAACGTTGATGAAAACACCAAGTCAGCTTTCCAAATGCGCTGGCATCGTCATATATTGCTGGTAGTTTTAACTGAATTTACTCAAAGCTGGAAAGTCAAGGCCTTGGGATAGAAATATCATTTAATCTTGAAGGTGCCGATAGCCCATGAGCACAGGATTCCAAGTGGTGCGGGGCTGGGAAGAGGTAACAAGTAGACCAAGAGCTGGGAAGGAACAGCTGTCACTGTTTTGACACAGGTAGAGTGACTGGGTATGCGTTAATCCAGGCAAGTGTCAACTCAGCCCTGTCCCATAGCCTAACCTATTCCCCACCCTTGTCCCAACCTGGAAATGAACCCCAGGTCACACAGTGCTTGAGATCTCATTTTGACTGTCTGCTTTTTCCACCATGTCAACCTCTGAGCAAGGTGCAATAAAGAGCACAGAATAGGCACAAAACCTTGCCCTGTCCTCAGGTAGGAGAAGAGATGCTCAAAAGTTGCTATGGAATGAGAAAGAGCATAAAAGCCCTTCCCGAATGCCCCTGAAAGCCAGCCACCCACACATGACTAATGTAAATGCTGACATTCAGAGAGCTGCAAACACCCAGGTTCACCTGCCACTGCCCGAGGCAAGATGGAAGTTGGGAGAGGCAGACAGAAAGTCTTGAGAGTTCACCAGGAATGTTGCAGGTTCCCAGGAGCCGAAAGGGATAAGCTGGAAGTGTGATAGGGTGCAAAGCCTCCATGGGATTCCCTGTGACATCACCTTTGGCTACTGTCCCTGCAGTGAGCATTGTCGCACACCTTGGTACCTGCAGCACGCACCCCAGTGACACTTTCTGAAAGATGTGTGGAAAACCAAAGTGAGAAAGGCTGTCTCACAACAGCATCTTCCCAGCCAGCCTGGCTCACACCTCCTTGGATTCCAGGGGTGTGCGACATGTGTCTTGATAATCAAGGCACCATCTGAAGCCTGCGTACTGATCAGTGGGATCACAGCTATCTACCCGTCTCTGCCCAGGACCACAAGAGAGAAAATGGCTAGAATGGGCTAGATGTGAGAAATGAATATTCAGCCGTTCCCAGGGGCAGAAGTGGTGGACAAGACAAGCGATTTCTCCAGATGTAGAGCAGGGTGAGGTGTGAACAGTGATGCATCTGTTTCTGGTAACCGCTGGCATGCTGGCCAGCCTTCAGAAAAAGACTCTCAGATGCTACAGTTTTCTGCAGACCAGGGACAGGACAATGGATGGGGCGTGCAACACAGCTAACCTATGGCATGGCACTCCCACAATGGCCAGCAAGGCTCCCAACCCCATCCACACTCATGTCACCATGAGTGCAATGTTGTTCACAGTACTCCTGTGACAAGCAGCCCACACGCAGCAATGTACCCTGTCAAGACAATGCTCTGGAAGGCGGTCTTTCTCAAGCATGGGGCTCCTGGGAAGCCTCTTAGGACTGCAGGGCCAGGCCCCTCCCCAGATCCCATGAATCTTGGTGGTTAACAAACATCCCAGGGGCTCTGAGAATGTTGGTACAAAATCAGCTGTCAGCTCTTTTATCTCTTCTGGCCTGCCCAGGGTCCAGGCCTCCAGAACCTGCTCCTGCTCCTGGTGCTTGGTCTACAAATGCATTTGTAATGCCTCAGGAGCAGCTCTAATGCTGACTTTAACATACAGCTGTGGCCCTCTTTCAAAAGAGAACACTTTGTTGCAATTTACCCTCTAGAACTTACAGGAACATGTTTGTTACGAGTAATCCTCAGCACACAGAGGTTTCTGTAGATGGGAAGGGACCTTAACCAAGACAGATGAGGATGTGCCCCTTTTGCTGATTGAGTCCCCAAATTTCCCCATGTTGTCTTTGTAACAAAGTCTGCTCTAGGGTATCTCTTTCTCCTGGACCCTGGATCCCAAGTATTTGTGCATTCATTGCTTCCAGTAGATTCCAGTGACTTCCTACTTGTCCTCCCAGGGGCTTTGGAGAGGACACATTCTTCTGCATGTGACTCGGTGTCCTCTCTAAGACATCGTGGGCTGGGACTCCGTTGTCTTAACCTGGGAGTCCAAACTGAAACAGGTGGATGCCGTGATGCCCCCTGTGTACATAGTTCAATGACATGAGCAGAGCCCATGGCTGATATGAAGGTACTGAGTACCCTGCCCCTGGAGATATCAGAGCAGAAGCCAAAATGCTGGATATCAGGAATGGTAGCAAGCCTGCCACCAATAGTCATCGGGAGAGACAGTGGACCTCCAGGCCTCTGAAGTCCTCTCTCTCCAGGCCTGTCTTATTCTGTAAATTTCAAATTCAGTTTCTCCCATTACATCATTAAAAATACCCATGTTCTGCCTGCACAGACTAGTTTTGCCCAAAGTGGAGAAATACAATTTAAATGTCTCCTAAGTGGCAGAGTCATGAGAAAGAAAAGCAAATTAATCAACAAAGAATCCCTTTTCAATGGTTTTCAAGCCAGCTTGTGTGTGTCACCAAACCACAGGTGAAATGCTAATAAAACTCGGGGAGCCACAGCGGCATGGTTTAAATGTGTTCTATTGTTCCAAAGAAACAGATGCGGGATCTATTTCCAAGCCTGCTCTTTTGAATGAGAGGGAACTTTCCGTAAGTGCGGAGCAAACGTTTAGACAGCAGCGAAGGCCTCCTGAAGAACAGAGCTTAGTGGAGTCACTGCTGCATGGCAGATGGAAGGATCCAGAAGGCCCATCAGCAGCGGGTGCAAACATCATCTTCTCTGGGTAGCCTGAGACAGATGCAGCCGGACGGGTCCTGGGAGAAGGAGCCACTAGAAAACAACCACGATGAAGTCATTTTCCCTTTTTAGCCTAATTTCAACAGACACGTCTGGGGGGCAGGCAAGCTCTGCATGCTGAGTGTGAAGTGCAGCAAGAGAAGCAGTGTGCGGACAGAATCCATCACAGCCAGAGCAGAGGGAGCCCCGGAAGCCTAGGGGCTACCTCCCACCCCACCCACCCCATTGCCCTCCCATCCCACCCTGCACAGCACCACTGGTCCTGTCTGCAAGACACAAAATGTCTTTTTCTCCTCCATGCTTCCACACCTGTGCTTCTGTCTGCACCTTCTCCCCTCCTCAATCTCAATTTGGTTCCAAGCCCAGATTCAAAACTCACCTTATCCATGCTGGACTCCCTGTGTGGTAGCAATGTTTAGCATCCCTCCCCTCCCCTCTCCTCCCTGCAGGCTGATAAGCCGGCATACCCTCTCCGGGCCCACCTTACTCAGTATAACTCTCACTCTACCTTAGGTTTCGCCTCTTTCTGAAAGGCCTCCCTTGATAACTGGAAGGCTCAAAGGGCAGAAACCAGGTCACAGACATTATTGAGTGGGGCACAGAATTCAACAGGTTTGAAAGCCAATAAATGCTTAGAGAAAGGTCAAGGCTAAGGTGGAAGGCATCACCTCATAAAGCCATGACCCCAAGTGTCAGGGCCCCAATATCTCTTTCAAGATCATTGCTGGAGTCAAGGTATAAAGGGATATAATCAAGCCAGAGATTTTCTGAAAATCCCAGATTTGGACCGAAGAAGCATGGTCACACCTGATGGAATCTAGGCTCGAGTTCTGGAGTCAAGCTGAAGCCAACCCAGAGCCTACTTGACCATGCTGCTGTGTGGCCTCCGGCAAATTACACAACCTCTGTGTTTCCTCAGACCAGATGTAGGGGTGACAGCAACAGCTTTGCAGGACAGCGGAAGTGTCTCAATCAAGGAAAGTGAAGCAAGCATGATAAACTAAGATCCTCGCTAAACGCAGACTCCTTCCCACTCTATGGTTTGAATGTGTTTGCTCTACCACGCCCAGACTCATAGGCTGAAATCTCATCACCATAAGAGGAAGGCAGGTGATTGGGCCATGGAGGAGTCCCTCGTGAGTGGGATTACGGCCCCCATAGAAGAGACCCCAGGGACCATCTTGCCTCTTGGACCGAGTGAGGACTTCGAAACAAGGTGCCATCCGCAAAGCAGGAAGTGGGTCCTCACCATGTGCCAAACCTGCCAGCACCTTGACCTGGGACTTGCACCTGGCAGAACTGAGAAAAAAAATGTCTGCTATTTGCAAGCTGCCCAGTCTATGGTGTTTTGTTGCAGCATCTGGAAGAGACTGAGACATTCTCCTTGTCACAGTGTCCCATCATGAGACTTTCCAGGCTACGGTACGACAGTTTTTCCATCTGTAGAATAGACAGACAGGCTCAAAACTTATTTTTACTATTCAAGCAACACATTATGCAAAAAATAATATTTGTAACAGACTTGGTTTGTTCAAGGTATCAGATGAGTGTGAAACACTCATTCATTCTTCCTTAACAATGTGGGAATTATCACCCATGATTTCTACAAGGATTTAAAGACTGCCATCAACTGAAGACATGCTACCAGTGGAAGAGGCATCTCTAACTTGATAGTGGGGATGGGTCTGTCCTCTGCTCTCTGCTGAACAGTGTACCCCAACTTTGGGTCCCTCTCAGCACGTGCTGACGTGTGTCTCCTAACATGACAGGTGGAAATACAATTCTCATTTAATTGATGAGGAAACTGGGGGGTCAGAGTGTTTTCCTGAAGCCAGATCCAGTGCTCTTGGCTCAAGACACTGAAGGAAGGACAGTGATGTTGTGGATATGCCAGGTGAGCTCTATTGTATAACCCCGACCATTAGGGGAGGAATATCAAGGGTTCAGAATGATTAAAAGCTGTATCCCTCCTCATTTCGTGTGTAATGGAAATCTGTGACCATCAGAAAGAGAACAGAATTCAAAATCAGATTCATAGCACACTCACATAACTGTATGCAATGTATAAAAGTGCCAAGGTCATCACTCACATAGATGAAAACAGCTATGATCATACACTCTTAGGGGGTGGTTGTCAGGGTTCTGTCACGACTGCTAGAAAAACTAGTCCAGTTTATGTAGAGTGCCCCCAAATAAAGGTTCATCATACCTCCACTCACTCTTAAAAGCACCCCAGTGAGTGTGCCCCCCCCCCCAAATCAGAGGAGGAATTTAAATAAAAATTATCTGGAAACTCCATCAACCTCTTAATTCAATCACAACCTGTGTCAATAAGGTCTAGCCTCTTTGGAATTTCTTTAACTGTCCCCCAGTGATTCTAATGGACCTTAACACTGAAGACTTTTGCCCCAAATGAATGACAGCTCTCTGAAAAGCAAAGGACATTTGGCAGCGGTTGGCAGGTAGGCCCAACTCCCCATCGGGGAATCAGGTGGCAGAGGAGGAAGCATAAATGGAGCTGGTCCACAGACCCCACGAGACCCCATGAGTCATCGTTATGTGGACTCCCACCTTCTCAAGAAACAGTCGGAAACCTCTAGGCAGTTAACATGGTGGGGGTGAGCTCGGCAGTGAGCAGGTAATTAGTGCTCATCTCCTTCCCGGAAGAGGCCCTGTTTCACCTTGAAGCAAAGGGGAAGAAGCAGGAGACAGATTTGTCCACACATTTGGAGACATTCTGCCAGAGAATTCTATCGAGGCACATGGAGTCAGGTCCCTGGCAGTGATCAGCAACAGAGCCCAGGGTGGAAACAGGTCTTGGGCAGGATTTGTGAACAGATTGTCTCCAAATGCTGCGTCTCTCCTAATTAATGCTGCCAAGTTAAGTCTCTGGCCTCTAGGTGCACACCAGGGAGGTTCTTGGAAGAGCAGGGTCTGCCATCTCCTTGTCCCTGTCACAGAGAGCACAGCCGGTCCCTAGGCAACTCCCCTGAGTATTGAATCTGTTTGAAGGTCTGACGCTGGTCTCCTAGTTGGAGACCTTTTCAAGAGCAGACAGAGATGGGGGGGTGGAGAGAGGGACTTTTTAAAGAGGGGCACTGGGCATCACCATGGCTGGCCATGGAGAGGCCAGCAGCTCCCAAGTACAGTCCCTTGTTACACCTGCCGCTGTTTTAAGCTCCTGGGAACTTCTTCAGTGTTATATTAGGAAAACCTGTTTCACAGAGGAACTTCAACATGTGTGGGCAAACCTATCATTTGTGGCTTACAATCACAATTTTGACTCATAAGTAAATAAGATATTGCCGACCATCAGAGTTAAATTATAACCATGTACACACACACACACACACACACACACACACACACACACACACACACGCACACACACACACACACACACACACGCACACACACTCCTGGTATTTTCAAACTTTCTGATCTTTGCTAACCTAGGAATGAAAAAATATTATCTCCACATAGCTGTGTTTCTCTGTGTGTGTGTGTGGGTGGGTGGGTGGGGGGTGTATGTGTGCGCATGTGCCTGCACATGCTCCCATATATGTGGGTGGATGTGTGTTTACATGTCTGTGGGTCTGTATATGCAGGTGCACATGCATGTGTGAGTGCATACAGGTAGAGGTCAGAGGTCAAGCTCAACTGTTATTCCTCAAGAGCGATTTACCTTTTTTAATCGCTGTGTGTGTGTGTGTGTGTGTGTGTGTGTGTGTGTGTATGAGCGTGCATGCACGTGTACACACTCACACACGAGCATACCATGACATGACAGAGAAGAAGTTGAGGGAGGCCTTTCCCTCCTTCCACCATGTGTGCTCTGCAGATCAAACGAAGGCAGTCAGGCTTGGTAGACGGATCTTCACCCACTGAGCCGTCCCACCCGTCCTATCCACCATCTTCTTTGAGACAAAATCTTACACAGAATCTGGAGCTCACCCATTTGGAACAGCCTTGTGGCCAGCAAGGGGCAGAGCTCCTCCAGACTCGGCCTCCCCAGCTTTGAGATCACAAGCACACACATCACACCTGGTTGTTCACAAGGATTCTGAGAAGTGGACTCAGGTCGTGCTTGCTTGCTCTTTCATATGCTTAAAACACAGCCGTTTCCTTTTCTGTAGGCTCTGCTTATAGTCCTTGCCTGTTTTTCTTGCTGATCTGTATATGCTGTTAATATAGTAGAGGAAGCAGCCTTAACTCTAAAATAACACCCATGCATGTTTCCAGTTTGATGTTCATCTTTTTATTTTGTTCATGGTCATTCAGCTATTATTATATTTTGTGCATATTTTTTAATTTTTGTTTTTAGAGATTATAATATAATTATATCATTTCCCCCTTCTTTTCCCTTCCTACAAAACCTCCCGTTTATGCCCTTCCCCCATTGTTTCCAAATTGATGGCCTCTTTAATTGTTGTTATATACTGATATGTGTGTGTTTCCTAAATACATAAATGCAACATCCTCAGTCTGTACAAAATTACTTGTGTATATATGTTTTCATGGCTGACTATTTGACATTGGATATCATTTGGTTTGCTTGTCACTAGGGAAGACTATTTCTCCCACTCTTAGAATTCCTTAGCTGCCTGTAATTCCGTGTGTATGGTTGAGGCTTCATGAGCTTTTCCTGGTTCATGTTAGCATGAACTATGACTATTTCTAATATATTGGAAATATATATATATAGTTTCTGGGGTTTGTCTCACCCCTTAGAAAGGATTACGAGAAGAAAACATCTCCCATCATTTCTTTCACATGAGGTCTTAAACAGACTAAGCAAAGCCAGAAATCACTGGACTAAAAAAAAAATATCACAGAAAACATGACCTACCGTGTCATGCATTCTGCATTGAAAACCATGGTCCCCAAGAGGAAGCTGGAAGGCACATCATTTGTTTCCAAGGATGGGACACAGTGGAATGTCCAGGCATCCCAGCTCCAGAGGAGTTCATTTCCTTGGCTTGAAGAGTATGTGCATATTTCTGAGGCACTGTAGAAACCCTCCTAATAAACTCGGTCGGCATCCTCTGGTCGGATGGTCCCATAAAACTCCAGCCAGATCTCTGAGTCAGTAAAACACGTGGACTTCCTTAGGGGTACTAAATAAGATTCAGATGTATTTATCTGTTTCTATGGATTCCATTGCATCTTTTCTAGATATTTTTGAGATTTTATTTCTTTTTATTTTATGTACGTGAGTGTTTCCTGAATGCTGCACACCATGTATATGCAGTACCCACAGAAGTCAGAAGAGGGAATCGGATCCCCCTGAGACTAGAGTTACAGACAGTTGTGAACTGCCATGTGGGTGCTGGGAACTGAACCCTGGGACCAGGGTTTGTAGATACATGGTCTTACTGTGTACCACTGTGTGGGGACACGCTCAGATGCTGGGGAGGCGGACGGAACAGGACAGTGTGAATACGGCAGTGGCAATGGAACCCAAAACCTCTCTTGAGCATCAAAGCAAAGTCCAGCTTTGTCCACAGAACTCCTCCGTTTCTCCTGCAGGCCCCCAAGGCCTCTGACCTCCAGCCCGGATCCCAGGCACAGTGACAGGTCATCTTGATCCTTTCGCGGTTCCTTCAAGCAGAACTGTTCCCATCTTCTTCTTCTGGTCTCCAGTGTGCCATCCTTACTTTTCTGACTCCTCCCCTAAAAATAAAAAAAAAATTTAAACCACTGGCCATTCCCGAAGTTTGCACCATGTATAGACTGACTGTCACAAGCCAATCGGTGTTAAAGATAGTTTCAGACAAAGTACACAGAGTCTGGGAGGCCAAATCATTTGTGGAGGAAGAAGTTAATGCTTAGAGGGGACTAGGGAGATTCACCCAAGGTCAACAGTCTGGCCAGCAACACCAGAGCCCGAGCTTGCTGTGTTTCTGCCCCATGCTCCTCACCAACCTGCTGTGGCTCCCAGACCAACTGTCTCCTGCTTCCTTGGGGAACGTCCTGGTAAGAACTCTGCTTTTGGACTTTGTCTGGGATGAAAAGAGAACAGGTTGACTTTGTAATGTCATCAAATATTAAGCTTGATTTTTCCCAGCTACTGACATCCAAATTGCCAGTGAGCTCAAGAGCCCCAGTGGAGCCTGCTGGCTGTGCTAATAGAATAGAGCTGCAGCTAGGCAGGAGGGGAGGGAAGCCCCTCTCTCTATGTAGGGGGAGATGAACAAGAGGGACTGCAGGGCTCTATGGCTCCCTGGGAGCCAGGGACAGAAGACCAGCTAATCAAGGCACATTCAGGTAAGGGCCTTCAATTAAAATTTTAAACCAGAGCATTCCATAACCATGCATGCTTGAAATGCCAAGGGTCTACTGAGGTCGTTCTGTGAAGTTGTCAAAAACAAGAAATAATTCATCACTTGTCCTCTGGACAGTTTTTGAAAGAAAAGCCCTCCATGACACAGGACCTACTGTGCAAACAGAGGCAGGGAAGGAAGTCACCTCTTCTCACCTCATTGTTTGAGAGAATACTGTGAGAATTATCTTTGCAGGTAGAAAAATAATTGGTTTAGGGAGAGAGTATTACTCCATACTAAAGTACTTAACATGTGCAAGGCCCTGGGTTCAATTCCCATCACTTAAAAGACAAATGGCTCTCAAGTTTGGCTTCATATAGTATTTTCACTAGGCGGGTGCATTACCCTCACCAAACTGTGGTTGCTCATCTGTAAATACTTGGCTAATAACAGCTCTTCCTCAAAGGGCTGTGTGAAAAGCTAAACATAGTGTGTTGGGAAGCACCAGGACCTGCCTGACCCCAACTAGGCCCAATGAACTCTCCTCCAGAGTTTTAAATGAGTGTTGTGATTTACTAATATCATTGCCTTAACTTGTCATGTGGTGAAACCGAGTCCCGGATGGTGAATCAACAGAATCACCATGGCCCTCAACACAATCAAATTCAAGTCAGGAATTCTCTGGAAATAACCACCCCCCATGTCAACACTCTGTTCGGCTACCCCTCCCTTCTTATCCAGAGTTCTGCACCTCTTAAACATTTAGTGCGGGGTATGTGAGGAATAGACAAAGGACTGCTTCCACAATGCTCAGCCCTCTGTTTTCTAGGGCAAGGCTGGAATCTACTTCCAAACATCACTGTGGGACCTCCTCAAAGAATGATGGCCATTGAGGACCACAGGAAGTAGAGGAAGGGAAAGGAGGGCAGAGGAGGTGAAAATAAAGGGGCAGGGGAGAGGAGAGGGAAGGAGAGAAGGGAGGAGAAGAGGTGGAAGGAAGGAGGGAGAAGAGAAAGAGAAGGGAGAGAAGGAGAAATGAAGGGAAGAGGATGGGATGGGAGAGGGGCAGGAAGCGAAGAGGAGGGGAGGGGAGGAGAGCAGAGGGGAAGAGAGGAGAAAAGAGGAGAGAGGGGAGGGGAGGGGAGGGGAGGGGAGGGGAGGGGAGGGGAGGGGAGGGGAGGGGAGGGGAGGGGAGGGGAGGGGAGGAGAGGAGAGGAGAGGAGAGGAGAGGAGAGGAGAGGAGAGGAACCTTAGAACCGGGACCATCTGCCTGGGAATCCAAACAGAAGGGAAAGCAGAACCAGTTATGTCTAACGTGTGAACTAGTGAGGGAGAGAAGGATGCAGTGAACCAAGGGTTCACAGTGGAAGAGCCCCATGTGAATGACAGGTGTCAGAGTGCCGGGCACTCATCCACTGGGGACGACAGAGGTGTCATCCTGAGTGGACCCACAGCTAGAAGCCCCTGCTCTGCTTTCTCCAGCCTCTGTCTGTGATGGGAAGCTTCTGGCCTTTGTGCTGCCTGATGTGAATGGAATTTAAGCATCTGTTTTCATGAGCTGCTGGGTAAATCCGTGATGTTTCCAGCAATTAAAATATTGTTGCTTCTAAGAAGCTGGGGAATGGAGTCAACCCATGTGCCCCCCATATTACCTCCTTATAGGTGGCCTATTTTACATATTCAAGTCCAGATTCTGATCCTATTTTTCTTGACTTCTTCAGGAAGGTTGTGTTGGCCCAAAGAAATATGCATTCCAGATGGCAAGTAGAGAGGGGACTAGAGTGAGACTATGAATAAGAAATAAAGAAATGCAGATGGGGAAATGCAGAGAGATCCTAGGGATAAGTTCCTCTAATTCTTCAGTGTAACCCAAGGAGACACTGGGTGGATCAGAAAGAAGTGATCTACCCAAAGACACATAGCTCTTTGTTCGGCAATGAGGATTAGAATGAACCTGTCCTCCTAACCAGTTCCCCGGACACCTCATGAATATTTCATGCGAAGCTCAATTTTATCCATCTTTCATGTAGACATGAGCCTCCTCCCAGACCCAGACTAACCCTCCAATTAGAAAACACAAGAGCCTGTGTCTGGGATTGGACTTGACTTGCACTGTGCACAAAGCCCTGGGCCAATTGTCCTACTACTGTTGGGCTCTGGAGAGGGATGCTGCTGCCCCAGGGCTGGTGATGGAATAAGAGCTCTGGTCTATAAAGTATAGGCCACGACACTGTCCAGTCTAAAACACACAGTATCCACACTGGATTCTGGAGTCCACTGTGGGCTCAGCATTGCACCTGCTTGTGCCTGTATGCCCTTCCTTATCACAACACCCTCAAGTGAGAGCTACTCTTGTTCCCATCCACAGCTAAAGAGGCCAAATAACTTCCTAAAGATCTGCAAGGCCCAAAGGGCAGACCAGTACTTAATGAGATCTTGCTACAACCCATACCTACTTGCTATTAGCAAATCTTCTCTCTCTTGTTCCATCCCATTCATTATCGCTATGGCCCCCATGTAAGGCCCATTTCCCAGCTAAGAAAAGCATGCCCAGAAAGGAGAGCCTCATTAGGAAGTAACATCAGCCACAACGGGGTTCACACAAGTCCGTAGTGTGACTCAGACCTTGTTTAATGAAACCAGTTCTAGTGTCTTCTGTTGTTGGGGTTTATGTCTCCTGGAGGTGGGGGGGTGTGCACAAGTCAGTAAAGGTTGGAGCCTAGAGAAGAACGTAGAGTCTAAGGAGCATGAAATGGCATGAGAAGGCTAGGGAACTGTGGTTTTTCAGTTTCCTGGAGTTTGGGGCCACTGTAGAACCGGATGACAAATGTTTCATCAGCACAAAGGACAAAAGTGACAGATCCCAAAGTGTACTCAGTAATTATTCCCCCCCCCCTTGTCTCAGGCATTGTGTGTCCAAGTCTCAGTATGACTGCTATATGGCTACATTAAAGACACTGCACCCCTGATGTGCCCTTTAGTCCAAAAAATACTTAGGAGGAAGGCTACCATTGTCCATATCACCTTATACATTCACAAGCTAAGACTGTGACATCCACAGAAACAGATGTTCGCACAACTTGGCTTCATAGCCCTGAGCATTGACCTTAGACTGAATATATGACCTCAGATCCATATCTAGTCTGATGGATCAGACAGGCCATAATGGTATATATTGGCAGTTGTAACAAAAAATAAAATAATTATTTTGTGTGTAGGATGGAATCTTTTGTAACTCAGGCTGGCCTCAGACTTGCTACATAGCCAGAGCTGACCTTGAACCCTCAGTCCTTCTGTCTCCACCTCCCCAGTGCAGGGATTATAGGAATGCACCATCACACCACCTTCAAAAATAATTCTTACATGTGAACTCAAGATTCTTTGATGAACCTACATGGCTTTCTGGATCCCTGTATTCTGGGGGGGGGGGGGCTACAAAGAACCATTACCCCTGAAAGCACAAGGGAGGGTATGTCTTCCTGGCATTCATACATAGGCTGTCAAGGTGCTGGGAGCTATCCCCTGGTGGAAGACTTCAGAAGCCCCCACTGGGCTCCACTGAGATGCAGAAATCATACAGGTATGGCTGCAGCAAGCTGAAGCCCTCCAGAAAAGGCTGTCTGTTGGGGAATGGTGATGATTTGTAATCAAATTGTGTTTCATTAAAGAGAAAGTGTCCAGAGGTTTCTTGTTGGCTGCTTCCTAGCAAATTAAAGATAATGGAGTTAACAGAGAACAACTGTAAGTCAGATACCAACAAGTGACATGAGCCGGAAGAAAACTTTATCTCTTTGGATGCTTATGTATGTCATGTGGCTGGAGCCCTGATTCTGTCCTTGGTCAGAAAATTGGGTCTATGTTAAGACAGTACACCACCCCCTGATCCTCTGACTTTGAACCACATTCTACTCTATGGTCTTTCCTCCCATCTTGAGGGTGGGGGTAGACAGGAGTGGTTAGATGTGTCTGCACAAATGCATATGTAGATGGAAGTCAATCTCAGATGCTCCTCAAGCACCATCCACCCTTGCTTTTTCTCACTGACCTAGCTAGGCTGGCAGGCTAAGCACCAAGAATCCCCCTGGCTTTGCCTTCCCAGTGCAAGTGTGTGCCATTGTGCCTGGCTTTTCCACATAGGTTCTAGGGACTGAATTCAGGTCCTCATGCTTTCCCGGTAGGCATTTTATTATCTGAGCTACCCTTCCAGCTCTGGGGAGATATCTAAGTGACCTGATGTCTCATTTTGTGGGTGTGAGGGATTTTTCCAGAGTCCAGGACTTCAGTGCTAAAATCGAGAAAATTCTGAACACAAGCTGGCCACCCTCTTGAGATCACAGAATGTCCTGACTTTGGGGGATTTTTCTGTCTCTAGTGTTCACGAGAATCACCAGGTTCAAAAACCTACACGTCCCACAGCAGATGTGTTAGGAGTCTAGCTGGGTTCCCAGGACACAGAACAAACACCACAGGGGTTGCCCACATTCAGAGCTCCTAGCCAAGCACAACAACTCAGGCTCTCCTGTGACCCTGGAGCCAGCCCTGGCAAAGCCTCCAGGTCTCCCCTGCAACCTCATCGGAGACCCAGAGCTGGCAAAGATCCAGGTAAGGAAAGCAGAACCCAGCAATAGGGTGATAATCTTATGGCCACCAGGAGATTAAACAATACCCCATGGCCATCCGTTCCAAATCTAGTGGCTCCCTGGCTGCTGAGGGTCTTCCACAGACACACAGGCATGATCCCAGGAAGCATACTCTTCCAGGGCACATGTGCAGCCCTCACCACCAGCTGTTCGGGCAGACCTCTCACCTCTTGCTTGTCCTCTCACAGCTGGACATACCTCACCGCTCAGAAAAGAGAGGAGGGGCCAGCATCCCCAAACCATAGGCCCAGACGTTGGTCCTACTCCACATCATAGTACACATGTTCAGGTGGAAGAGAAGGTTCTGGAAAGTAAGACAGAAGAAGGGCAGACTTCCTCACCTTGCCATAGTCAGAGGCTCCCTGGAGCAGAACCTGATGAGGCTGGGGATTCTCTGAGGCCCAAACTGGGCCAGTGAAACCTGGAACTCCAGCCAAGAGGGATGGAAACCCAGGAGGAGATGGGACCTAGGAGGAGGAGGCAGTCTGTGATTTTTAATTTACTTTTTCTTGCCCTGAGACAAAAATTAATTTGACTTGGGAAAAAAAGGAACTTTTAACTTGACTTTTGAAAGTAAAATTTCTGCAACTCTTTTTCCACTTAACAGAACATTCCCCTAACTTCTAAGGCACACTGTTAATATGCACCAAGTACAGGGAATTCCCTGGGCTCAGCCCACATATCACTGAACTGATTTTCCCCTCATTTCCCAGTAATACTGCCTGGGTTATGCTAACACGAGAGTTAACAGCTAATTTTGCTACAGGGGAGATAATAACAGGAAATGATCTTTAATAATGAGTTAAAGAGATTCCTTGGATGCCGATTCCTTTTATTACAGAAGGTCAATGGTTATCATATGTGAGTAAATCTAGCTGAGGCTAGCAACAAGATACAGAGAAAAATGTGGAGCAGACACACTACAGAACAGGGCACGAGCCCAAGCCCACAACTACAGGTGGTGAGGAATAGACTGCCATGGAGAAAAAGTCATAAACTTGAGGCCGAACACTGGGCTCTAGTCCATGCTGGCTGTGCATCCTTGAGAACAGCCTGACCTCTCTGAAGCTGTCTGCTGAGCTCCTCATGGAATGAATGCCTGCTTCTTGGAATTCGGATCCATCAAATCTGTCCCTTGTTTTCTGCAGAGGATGCCATTCCCCAGTTCTTTTCACATGTGTTGTGTCATTCGGCCTTCAGAATCATCACCCTTAAAAACAGTCCCCCAAGGGCCAGCAAGGTGGCTCAGTAGGCCAAAGCGCTTACTGTGGAATCCTGACAGCTGAGCTCCATCCCCAGAACCCATATAAACAGTCAGAGAAGAATGAGATGCCGCAAAGTTGTTCTCTGACCTCCATACTCAGGCTGTGTCACTTGTACAATACACGCACAAGCACACACACACACACACACACACACACACACGCACACGCACACGCACACGCACACGCACACACACACACACACACACACACACACACACACACTCATACACACACAATAAATAATAAAAATTTTAAGCCCACAAAAACAGACTAGCCCTATGTTGGAACAAGAAAGGTTAAACATTGTCCAGGCTACACACTTAACAGGAAGAAAGATTAGGACCCCAAAGTGGTCTCATGACGGCAGATTATTCATCTTAACAGCCCCTGTTCATTGAACCAGCTGTCTCTCCATTTCTTTTATTGAGCATCTTTTTGATAACAAGTTTTCTCAGGACACATTACCAGCCTGTGGATCAATATTTATTAGTTGTATACGCGTTCTACTCTCTTCATGGTATAGCTGTACAAAGAGGTATAGTTCTCAAAATATAACCTAACACACCCCAAAATGGAAGAAATACTTACAAACTAAATGTAAACTGAAGGTGTGTCGTATTTTTGAACAACCTAGGGTTTGTGGACAAACAGGAGAGATGAAGTTGTAGTGGAGATGAATGTGGCCTTGGGTCAGGATGGCTCAGCCATCCTCCTTCCAGCAAAGGGGAAGCAAGGGACTAGAGATTTCAGAACGCTGCTCAGAGTTGTGCACAATTCATCTCTCTAGGGTCCTTTCCTACTTCCTTTTCCTCTGTACAGAGAGGAACTAGTATACTTGCCAGAAAGATCAAGGGAGCCACACAAAACGTTTGAGTGATGGCAGGCATTCTAGTTTGCTTTTGTTGTAGTAGAACACTGACCAAAATCAGTGCGGGAAGGAGAAGTGTGGCTCATCAGTTAAGAGCACTTACTGCTCTTGCAGAGGACTAGGGTTCAGTTCCCAGCATCCACACAACCATCTGTAACTCCAGCTCCAGGGCATTCCATGGCTCTTCTGACTTCCACAGGCTCCTGCACACACATGATGTACATACATACATACTCTCAGGCACATGCACATAAATAAATACATTAATTAATTAATTAATTGACTAAAAAACAACTTGAGGAAAAAAGGGTTCATCTACTCTCACAACTCCCAGGTCACAGCCCATCACCAAGGGAAGAGAAGGCAGGAACTGAAGCAGGGACCACAGAGAAACACTACATATCGGCTTGTTTTCCATGGCTCACTCAGATACCTTTCGTATACCGCCCAGGCCCATCTACCCAGGGATGGCACTGCCCAAAGTAGCCTGGGTCATCCTCCATCAATCAGCAATCAAAAAAAAAAAAAATGCCCTATAGACATACCCACAGGCCAGTCTGATGGAGACACTTCTTCAGTTGAGGGTCCCTCTTCCAGGGTGACTCTAGTTTGTGTCGAGTTGACAAAAATTAATCAGTACAGCTTCCATACTCCAGAAACTTACACCAGTGGACAGGAGGGAGTTTCAGCCCAGTTCAGATTGGCTGGCTCACTTCCTCTTAGCTAAAGCCCTTGTGTGGAAGTTTCCGGTTCCCAGAAGCTTCGAAAGCTGTGGGTGGAGATGTAATTACAGTGTTCTAAAGCAAACAAACGCACACCCGAGTGGGAGGCTTGCATATTTATTTGGCTAATTAGAAAGAAATCACTGAGAAGCTATACGTCAGTCTTCTCTTTTCTTTCTTTCTTTCTCCTGTAATACTAATTGACATTTTATTAGTAGCGCATCTTTATTTTCATTATGCTCTCAATACAGTAGCAAGGCACAACATCATACTCTCTGGCAATAAGTGAGGGTGAATCATGCATCTCATAAATATAGCCATGTCTAGGGAAACCCAAGGGCAGAGCGCCAGCATCAGCATCATATGAGAGAGTGTGACACCACAAAGACATTTATCACACTTGCCCTTCCAATTTGCTGCCTAGTTGCCTAGAGAGCTGGTTCTGCTCTGCCTAGCTCCCACAAAGGCAATGGTCAGCACTCCTACAAGCCCGAGCTGGGATCGGAAAGGAAACAAGAGGCAGGAGCCAGCTCCGTCCTGTGCAGCTTCCATCTGCCTACTGTTCACCCCAAGGAAAAATGACACACAGCAGCTCAAAACTTCAGATTCATCCACTTTCTGAGACCCTACACTGAGTCTGAGTCCAGCACAAGGCAGCTGCCCCCAAAACACGCAATCAGCAGACCTGGCTTGAATTTTTTGCTCTGAGTCCCCATTTTCCATTGCTTAAATGCCTTCCTTTTGCAATTATCCCAGTAATGAAATCAGATAAGTCATATAAAGCCAATGCCTGATACATCCTTCTGTCCCAGGAAGTTGTATTAGGGAAGACAGAAAATAAAATTAGCATAGCTCAGGGAACCCAAAGTCTTAAGATTTGGGCATAACAGATACACAATAATGCCCTACCAAACACTATTAAAAAACTCTTCCTTTCTGTTGGAGAGGGAGACAGGAAGACACACAAATTGCTGCAGTGCGTGGCTGGTTCCAATAGTCCAATACTGGGAGTTGCTGAAAGCCTTTAAGTAGAGAAGGAAGATGCAAAGTGAGGTGCTACAAACAGATAGAGACCATGTAGAGGCGTGTTGCTTTTGTGGTCAACATTCTCTAAACAGCCTGGGGAAGGGTGTAGTCCAGTGTAGAGTGTGTATTATACATGAGGCTCAGGGTTCCATGTCCAATACCAAGAAGATATATCTACATATTCCTTAAACAATATACAATTTCAACTATTTACATAACTCGGACATTGTATGAGGTGTTATAAATAATCTTGAGATTATTTAAAGCACATGACGTAGGTTATATGCAATTTTATACAGGGCTTGAGCACCATAGATTTCTGTACATGGGGATGCTGTGGAAGAAATCCCCCATGGACTCTAAGAGACAGCTGTATTAGAGTATGCAAAAAAGATTGTTAAGATTAATCCTACCAAATCCCTTAGCTTTTTCAATCCAGCTGCTACAGAAGTTTAAAATTACACGTGCGCCTCCTGTTACGTTTCTACCGGACAGCAGCACTCTGGAGTGTCAGCCGGACATTTCAGGGCCGAGAGGGGCTGGAGGCAGCAACAACATCTGGGCCATTTCATTCCAGCCAAACTACTGATGTCTCCAAGCCTGGCCTGCCTCCCCTGCTGCCACTTCGCGGGGTAATTAAAATGCCTTGAAGCAAAGAGCCTGCTCCTGAGCGTGCGTGACAAAGCTCAGAGAGTTTTGCTAAGTTGTTTCCAGACAATGGTCTCAAACACCCATGTCACATCCAGAGCAGGGATCGGGCCAAAGTGCCTGGCTCTCAGCCCCGTGATCTACTGGCCATACACAGCTCGAACATGCCCAGCAGCAGCCATTTCACAAGGTAAATTAAAAAGCAACCAGCATTTTCCTCTCCAACTGGCAACAAATGGACTGTTTTTCAGTGACTTGTGGAGAGCTCCAAAAGCCTGCAGGATCTGTCTCGACATATCCCAAGCATGGTGCTGAAGAATGGACACGCAGATATTGTTTTGATATGATTTGGCTCTGTCTACACTGCCCCGGGCTCAGACTTGAAATTAACCCCCAATGATGCTGACCTTCTGGGTGTTGACCTTGAGCCTCTTCCTTTCTTCATCAGTAAAATAAGGAAGCTGGGTTTCATGGCCTTGAACATCCTAGGAGAAGTCCTGTTGCCAGTGTGGGGAAGGGTGTGTACGCATTGCAATCAGCAGGATCACAGTTCAAGCCCAAAGCCTGCCATTTACCAGCCCTATGGATTGGGGCAAGTGACAAATTACTTGGGCTGTGTGAGCTTTGCTTTCTCTTCTGGAAAATGAGAAGGCAGATGTTTGTGGTGATTAGATTAAGGAAGAGGGGAGAGATGTAGATTGTAATTGTTAGTACCTAGTCAGTGACAAACAAATTTATTTAACAAATAAAGACTTCACAGTTTGTGTGGGGACCATGGGCTCAAGCCTCAGAAGACTTCAATCTACTGGGGTTTGCTATCTCTTCCAGCTGCTGCTCTGTGATCCAGAGAATCTGCTTCTGATGCTGAGGCTCTCTGCCTAGCAGAGGTAGGGTACAAGGAGGGAGGTGTTTCTCTTGGGGCAGAGGTGCTCC